GGGCTTGAACTCATGAGCCATGACCTGAGCCGAAGTCTGATGTTCAACTGATTGAGCCACCCAGTCACCCCTCCATCTTTTTTTATTCTTAAAGATTTTATTTTTTAAGTAATCTCTATGCTCAACATGGGCCTCGAACTTACAACCCCAATATAAAGAGTTGTATGCTCCACTGACTGAACCAGCCAGGTGCCCCTCCATCTTTATTTTGTTTTGTTTTAATATATTTTTATATATCTTTAAGGAAAGTAGGAGTGATTTTCTTGGTAAGAACAGGCTAACAGTTCAAGTTCCCTTGACAGGTACATCTTCATGGCAGAGTGCAGTTTGCTATAAAGTTTCATGACACCATCTGTTAAGATCATTTTCATATCATTCCATGCTCATTGAGCAAGTAATTTGGTGTTCCTGGCACTGATCTCTACAGGGGAGGGAATGTGTTGATCAATCTGTCCGAGGATTCTATTATGGTTGACAGTCAAAACTTTTACTGCAAATTAATATATTAACATGTGATTTATATACTTGTCTCATATGTTTCATGCACCTGAGCTTGATCAATGGTCTAATTGATTCTCAACCTGCAAAGCTAAGAGCCAAACCCTAGAGGAAAATGACTCCATTGCAATATCATTACCACATGAGGCACTAGTTGAACAATAAGCTGCCCTCTTTATCAACTTTAAAATGCAAACAGCACTTTGAGCATGTGACTTTTGATCTATTTGACCATAAGGCATTTGAGAGTTGGGAGTGTTCTGTTTACTGTCACATCTTCCAAGGAGCCCAGTATATACCTGGAACATCGTAGGCACCATGTGAATATTAGAAAAGAGAATGGCTCTATATTTTCAATGCACCATTCAGGTCCTAGTAGAAAAAGATTAAATTCATTAGCTACCTGGAGACCAAGACCATTCTATGCTGAAGGTGAGGTATGCATCTGACGGAGTTTGTAAGAAAAAATTTAATGTTTTGGAACAAAAAGAGAAATGGATAAGAAAATTGAAGATGACATTACCGTGGCGTATTTTTAGAATTGTATTTTTATTTCAGACCAAATGTTTCCCAAATCTATGTCTTAAAGGTTGTAACTACTGAGGTGGCACCTGGGTGGCTCAGTCAGTTAAGCGTCTGACTTCAGCTCAGGTCATGATCTCATGGTTCCTGAGTTTGAGCCTCGCATCAGGCTCTCTGCTCAGAGCTTGCTTCGGATCCTCTGTCTCCCTCTCTCTCTGCTCCTCCTCCCCCTTCTCTCTCAAAAATAAATAACATTTTAAAAAAGAAAGGTTGTAACTACTGTTCTTTTCCTTCTTCAATATACTTAGAAAATTTAAATAATATATAATAGAGATTTCAAGGTTCATATTGAAGACATTGAATTTCATTTAGAAATTGAGCTAGAGATATCAGATTCAAAGTTCTAATTATTAGGATTTAGTTAAAGGAACAGATTTGTACAGTTATATCTCCTAATTATTGATTACTAAGGAAATCAACACATATAAAGCAATATATTGGCTTACTATTTTATGTTCATTTTCTATAGTAAAGCACATGGGATGGCTGAAATTGCAGATGCCCTTTTTCCTTGGATAGATCTCAACCAAATGTCCCAGAACATCTGGAATCTTTCACTGTGGAAAAAATAAACAATAAAGGCATTTCTCAAATTTAATGTGTGTGGAAATTTGATGAAGGCCTACTGAGGGCTTTCTTCTAACCAAGAGAAGGCTGGCTGGTTCTTTGCTGAGAATCCTCGAACAGTGGCATTTACCTATAGCCTCAGTCTAGTCTCTTAGCTTTGTGAGTCCAGTGCCTCAGTTGCTATTTCCCTGTCTTTCCTTTTCATTTATTCCTGAACCCACTGCAGTGGGCTGAGTCACTCCACTGACCTTGCTCTTACCAAGGTCACCAATGATCTTGTATACCCCGTGGACACCACTTATCTTCCATAACCTCTTTGCTACATTTACGCAGGATGTGCAGAGCCCTTGCTTTGTGTTCGCCGGTCCCATTTCCTTTTCCTCCAGGGCACACTGCCTAACAACATTTCCTAGGCTCCGCCTGCAGTTAAGTGGGACCATGTGATTAAATTGCTGACTGGTGGAAAGCAAGAAGTGATTAGTGCCACTTCTGGGCTTGGCCACTTCAACTTACTGCACTCATGATTCTCCATGTGTACCCTCTGTCTCTTTGCAGAGGATCTAGTAGAAGACTCTAAGACCTTCAGGGAATGCAAACTCAAGTGGTGGAAGGATCTTAGGTGCCAGGATAACTGCTTTGAGGCCTTCCATTTCCTTCCCACTCACTGAAGTGGAATGTGATCTGAATAATAATGAAACTTTACTGTGTAAAACCATTGAGGTTATTTGTAATAGTGGTAACCTGTTGCCAATACTTCCTTGGCTTCAGTGATGTTGCACTCCTGCCCGAATCTCCTTTCATATCTCTGTCCCTCCATTTCTTTTCTTTTGTTTTCTTTTGTTTTCTTTTGTTTTGTTTTCTTTTCTTTTTTTGAGAGAGGTGGGGGAGGGGCAGAGAGAGAGGGAGAGAAAGAATCTTAAGCAGGCTCTGTGCTGCCTCCACAGAGCCCCAGGCAGGGCTCGATCTCATGAGCTGGGAAATCATGACCTGAGCTGAAATCAAGAGTTGGACACAACCAACTGAGCCACCCAGGCACCCCTGTCCCTCCATTTCTTGTTTTCTTGGACTTCTCTACTTATTCCTTAAGTATTTTTTATTTAAGTTTCCATGGCCCACTATTTTCTTTCTCTACATGTGTTCTGTCAACGAACTTATGTGTTCTCATGGTCTGCTTCTGATATGTTGATAAGATTGAGTAGTAAATGTGTTTTTAAATATTATCTAATTTTTACAAAATATTAAAAAAATACATATTTACTCTCTCTGTATATATATTTTTTCTTACCATGTTTTACAAGGTTTTGTTATAACTATGATTTTGAAATCTTTGCTATCTATTTCCTCATCTTTCCCTTCCTTGGTAAGTTGAGAGTTGATTTTCTTTTTCTTTTTTTTTTAAATTTGTTAAAATGTTTTATTTATTTCTGAGAGAGAGAGAGAGACAGCATGAGCAGGGGAGGTTAGAGAGGGAGACACAGAATCAGAAACAGGTTCCAGGCTCTGAGGTGGCTGTCAGCACAGAGCCCGACGCGGGGCTCAAACCCACGAACTGGGAGATCATGACCTGAGCCAAAGTCAGATGCTCAACCGACTGAGCCACCCTGGTGCCCCTATAATTTTTGTCTAGTTCTTTTATTGGACCATAAAAACTCCTCCTGCATTCAACTGCTGTTTATTAAATACGTACAACACATGGTCTTATTGTTCTTTCTGCTACAGTGCCTGTATAGTGCTTTGCATAGAGTAAGCAATTGGTGAACGTTAGTTGAACAAAATTGTTTATCTCACACTTGCTGTGTATAAGGCTCTGTGGTGAAGTTAATGTGAGACATAATTAAATATAAGACTTGATATCTATTGATTTCATCTTTCTCTATGCTCCCACCCCAACTGACAAACATTATAACATTTGAAGTTCTACAAATAAGACTGCATTATAGTCTTGGTACACAGAGGTGAGTCCAGAACTAGTGAGGCCCTAAGATAAATCCATAACTTGACTATATTACTAGGATAGAAGATTAATCAAGGTTTCACTTTTTCTTTTTGCCTGGAATTTGGAAGTACTAGAATGTAGAGAACTACCTGCTTTTATCCAACATCAGACTGCATTTTCTTTTCACTTAGGTCATTAGAGACCACAGCTTACTTTGGGTCTTTTATTGGGTAATTCCATTCACTGGAATAACTTTCTTCTTTCTTTTTCTTTTTGAAAGAGTCTTAATCAGATGCGTTTATCAGAGCATTATTTTATTACAGTGAGTAGAGGTGCCTTGTGAAGTTTCTCCCAGGGTCAAACTGTTTACAACATCTTGATGTTTATTCTCAACTGCAATTTCCTTTTAATGTCTTTAAATATTTTGGCACTGTACTACATATCTCGTCCTTGGATTTTTCCAGTTGCTTACATTTTTTTTTTCTTTTTGCATTACCTTATTCAAGCTTTCTACCCTTATCAAGCTTTCTGACATCTATTTTGTTTGTAAATAGTTTCATGAACTATTACTACTCTTACTATTATAATTACTACTATTACTTGTACTCCTGTATCTATAGTATTACAATTTAGTGTTGGATTCTAGGATAAACCAACAGCTTCATTAGTGAGACAAGTTCCTGATCATGGATGAGTTCTAATTGGTTCTGTTTGCTTGTAGTAGGATCTGTCTGCACATCAGTCAGTCAGTTGGTAGTGCCTCTGTACAGAGGCAACAGAGGTTGTTTTTTTGTTTTTGTTTTTTGTTTTTATGGTAACTGCTTTTGTAGTGATACAATATCATGACACTTTTCATAGTACATAGTATGTTTATTAATTGTAAGTCTAATAGTAAATCGAGAATATCTTGATTTTAATGCTTCTGTAGATGAAATGACCCAAAGGGCACCCCCCTCAATTGGCTGAAAAAATATTTACACTACATATTATTATTTACCCATTTGTGTAAATAAAGAAGGAATAGTCACATTTCCAAGAGCCTAAAGAGCTATGTGACTTTGAGAAACTTACCTAGCTTCCCTTTGCCTCATTAGGTTGTAATGAAATTGAATGAGTTAGAGCAATGTTATGTCCTTAGTAAGCACTCAAAAGTGTTAGCCATTATTATTATTATTAATTAATGCAGCAAGTATAAATATCTGTTGTTGGATATCTATATTTGCTGCCGCTGATAGTCATGATCATACAGGAAAGAGAATGTTCTTCATTCTTGTCAAATAAGCAGTTATGGTGTATTTCTCTGAATGCCAATAACGTCTTGAGAGTTTGGAGAAGCACGTTTTCTGATAGGTGCTAAGCTAATGAAAGCTTTTTGTCTTTATTTAAAGAAGAAAACAGATTAAGAAAATCTGAAACGTTTATTAAGACAGGACTAGAAGATTCCTCAGGAACTTTTGGTTCATGTCAAACGTGTTAGCAACTTCTTGTTTGCTCAGTGAAGCATGAGAATAGCAGCACATCAGTGTTTCTCGAAGTGTGGTGTGTGACACTCTGTCTTCAGACTCTTGGGGTGGACGCTTGTTAGAAAGGATGATTTCCAGAACTCTTTAGGGACCTACTGATTCTTTGAAGGGTTAACCAGTATCTCAAGCGCTTCTTATATAACCTTAATTTGGAGACGTCTGGCATAATGAGTAACGCAGGGAGAAAGTGTCCTCCCCGTACTTGGAATTTCAAAGAGTCAAACTGGGCCAAACCCAGGGCACCTTTCAGGGCAGCCTGCTCCGCTAATTGAGTTGCCACATTTGATGCTTCGCCTGGCCATCAACCATCTCCCAACAACTGGTTCCTGTAAGATCCAAACCTTCCTCTGCCATTACAGTTGTGACTGGCAATCTTGAGTTCCTTTGCTCCTTTCATCAACAGTAGGAAAAGAAAAGGAATTTTGGCACTCTAGTGATTATGGAAATCAAATATGGGTCTGTTCCACCTTAAAGGGCCTAGGCTTGCCTCAGTGCTTGGGTCTTGCAGAGTTTGGGCACCACCATATTTGGAGCGTGCCTACTTTGGGGCGGGAACCTCCTTGAGAGTGATTAGGTCAGCGCTGGGGGAGGTGACCTTGTTTGGTTTCTGGCACCCGAGAACAGTGGTGCACTGTTTCTGCTGCCCCCGTTTGCTTAATTGGCCCAGGCGCTCCACCAGAGCAAAGCTGCCCTGGAGCTCCTCGCTGGCCGCCCCCGCGGCCCGCAGCTCGGTAGAGGCGGGAAAGCAGCGCGCCTGCGCCGTGGGAACCGGGGCCGGAGGCGAAAAGCGGGGAGCGGAGGGGGGCCGTTGGAGCCGAGTAGCGTACAGAGCGGCGTGTGACGCGGGGACGCCGCGCGCTCCCAACGTCGCCCCGGTTTGACGCACACGGCACCAAACTGTGAGTTTCAGGGGTTATTTGGTCGGATTCTCCCGGACTCGAGTGGGTTTCGGGCCTCTGGGCTGTGGCGGCGGCGGGATTGAGGGTGGCGGAAGAACTTGGGGGACCCGACCTTCGGCGCTCGGGCCCAGGGAGCTACGCCCTAGGCTGGGTCCCAACCATCCAAAAGGACGCGTTTTGCCGCACAGGCTAAGATGGCGGCGGCGGCCGAGGAGGCGGAGTTGGTGCTACACAAGGAGCCCGGGCCCCGGGTTCGGGGAGGCGGCGGCCGCGGCGGCCGCGGGGGGCGGCGGAGCCTGAGGTGAGCGGCGGCCGCCGCCGCGGGGCGGGACTCGGCGGAGGGGGGGGGACCTTTCCGCGACGGCGTCGGAGGATCCGGTAGCGGACACAAAGGGGCTGAGCTGGGCACTAGACTTGGGGGTTTTGTTTAGTCACATGAAGCTGAGCAGCCAGTGAGCAGTAGGGGGAAGGGGCCGAGATCAGGCGGCTTGGGGAGCCTGGCGGTCGCCATTGCAACGCACTGAGTAACGGGGCGGTCCGAGAGCAGTCACCAACCCCCTCTCCGGGGCTGCTCGGTTTGGGCCAGAAGCGCCAGCTCTGGCATTAACTGCTCACACCCCTCCCCTAACGTGGGACCAGGACCGCATAGTCCTCCCCTCCCCCTGTTCTGCAAGATCTTATGCCGCTAGGTGCCTGGGAAGTAACAGCAAGAGGTAAATCGCCCAAAGTGTTTGGGTTGCCAGGGGCTTGGTGGGTGTCCAGCTAAAGCTTTTTGCTTCTCCAGGTCTGATTCCCTGGCCTTTGTGTCCCTGGGAGCTTAATCTCTGCCAGAGGAAAGCAGGTGTGCTCCACTTCTCCCGTGAACCTGAAGATGAGTTGTCCCAGACCCTTCTCAGTGATTGGAAACTTAGGTGGTGGAGCTAAAGGTTTCTTGTTACGAGACTTCCACAGACGACTCTCGTGTTGGGATCCATCCATGGTTTAGCAGCAGTAGTGGAAAACTTTTCTTGAACTGCCTAAGTAATATTGACATAAACTTAGTTGTTACAAAACTTTTGTCTAGACGTCAAATTTTGTGTGGTTATTAAGAAGTACTCAACAAGGGGGTGAACGCATTGGGGGCCTAAATGATGGCCCTGTTTTGTATACAAGTCAATAATTACAACAGGAATACCAAAACACCATCTTTTCTTCTGGCCAGTTCTGACTAATGCCAGGCTTGTTGCATCTGGATGATAGATTAGATTTGCCTTAATAGTATATTGCCTCTCTGCAGTAGTTTAGTTACATTGCTTTGGTCCAAGAAGAAGGAGAGGATTTCAAAAAATAGACAATTCAAGTTACTCAAAGGAAACCTGCTGTTTGCCTTCAGTGTCATGTGTAAGTATCCAGGGAAGTTGATGGCAGTGATACTGCTTTGGTAGCTTTGGTGAGAAAAAATTAGTTTTTATGAGGAGGTTGTAATTTTGACATTTTAATAGGTGAAACATGAAGGCTTGACCACTGTTGATGCAGTGATACGCATATCGCTGTTAAAAAAAATCATGTAGTGGAAATTCTAGAATTTGTAATGTAAACTTACATCGCACTTACAGCCGCCTCTTTGTATATTGGTATTAACTAATGTTTGACGTACAGAATTTGGAAACAGCTAATGTTTTGGCCAGGTCACGTTAACAGAGTAAGTTATGTGATTGAAGGGTTAAACACAGTTAGATTGTTAACTTTAGATCTCTGTTCAAATTAAAATTTGAATTTTTTAATGTGACTTAAGACTTTCATTTTCCTTGCTTCTTTCAGATATGTATTTCCCCCCTTTTAACTTTTCATCTTCTAATAGAGAACAGTCTTATTGTCTTAACGAATAAGAGGTAGATACATTAGGAGATAGATACATTAACGTTGGCAAAATGTATTAGTGAATCGTGGTTTTAGAGTGGAAGGAATCTCAGGGAATAGCTAGCTTTACCCACTGTTTTATAGTATATTAAGGATCCAATATGATTAAGTTAGCGCATAATGGAAAATTGTCTTTTCAGCTTCTACCTCACTGCTCTTTTCAGTGGTCACATTGCTGGGATGAGAAGGTGACTGTCCGCAACTAATGATTAAAATAAAATAGATGTGTGTTATAACACTAATGATAGATGAGAAGGCGATTATCTGCAACTAATGTTTAAAATAAAACAGAAGTGTGTTATAACACTATTATATTAATGAGAACTTAACGTGATAAGTTAAAAACTTTTATTTACCATGAGATGGTGATACAGTTTTTAAAGTGATTTCAGTGAAATAATTTCAGTACAAAATACAGGCATTTCAGATAATTTTGGAGCATTGTTGCTATTGAATTTTGAGGTTTTCAAAAAGCAGTCTTGACCCAGAAATTAAAAAAAAAACAAACAGCTTGATGAACTTCTTGGAAAATTTGAAGTAACTGCCATTACTACAAATTATTACATAAGAAATGAGATGCCGAAAACAATGATGCTAGTGCCTTCATTTTGTAATAGCTTTTTTGTTGGGTAAATGAATATGCCACTCACATTAGCCTTTGTTAAAAACAACTTTTTAAGATTTACTGTTATTACTACTGAGAAGTAGTAGATCTGTAAGATCTGTTAGGAAATCCAACAAGTAGCAGAATCATTTATGGTGGGATCCCACAGTTCTTTAACTTCTTTGGTTATCAAATATAACAAAACCTTTCATTGTATTGAGGTTTTAAAGCTTTTAGGGGTCATTTAGGGTACAATTATATCATTGATTTTTCTAGGAGTAAGCTATTTCTTAATTTTCAACACTGTGTTGAGTGGATTTAATTAACATTTTAGTTATGTGATAATTAGTATTCTCAGATTATTAGTAATTACCAAGTGAGTCTCTTATCTGGAAACCTTAAATATTTTGCAGTTTTAATTTGTTATTTAAGTTACATGAGGGAGAGTTTGGGTGTGGTCGAACTGAGACTGTAATTGGGTAGCATGAGGAGAAAAAAGACTGAAGAACAGTCACTGCAAGTAGTGAGGATACCTGTAATTTAGAGAAATTGGTTGTCAGAAAAGATCCGGTTTATCCCAGGTATACTGTTAGTGGTAGGGTTACCTATTTAGAGACTTCTCAGGGTGTGAGTCCAAAGGAAAAGAATGGATCTTATTTTTGTAGGAATGCTTTTCTCATGATTGCTTTTCAGGCAGTCTTAAGACAGTGGTTTGCCCTGAATTCAGAAATAGCTATGCTGAATTATCCAGTTCTAATTTTATAGCAATCTTTTTAAAATAGTGTCTTTAATTTAATTGATAGCCATATACAATAAAACATGAGAATAAAGGATGGTTACTATGATATTTTGGATAGGTATTCAAATGAGCTCTAATTTTTTATACTTATTAATCTGTATGAAGACTTTTATAGATGGAATCTGTAAATGTTTACAAACTTATGAGATACAGCAGTGATTAAAGCAGTTCTAGATGTATTGTCTTTTAATTTAGGTTTATTAAAAATAGTTGCTTTTACTATACAGACCATTTACATCATTGAATTTTCAGAAAATTGACAATAATCAATCTGATTCTAGCACTAGCTCACCCTGCTGGTTGACTGAAGTATTTCTATTCTTCTGTTAAAAACAAGTATAAAGATCACTTGAGACCTAGAAGGTAGAATAGCAAATTCAGTTCATGGTCTGTCTTCAGGAAGGTAGGGGTCTCCATGAAAAAGGTGTTCCTCAACTCTAGGGTCTTAGTTGCTCTACTGTTAAATTTTTTCTAAGCTCTACCAAATTTGAACTGTGGAGTCACTATTCTCTTTGAATTTAGGAGGAACTTTTCTTTAATTTTGTGGAGTTACCATGTTTCTGTCCTTTTACATTCAAGATAGGAGGTCCTTTGACAATTGAGAGATGTTAGCAAGAAAAAGAAAAAATCCTGTGACATAGCTTTCCAGGAAGAGAAAAGCAAAAGCAGAGGATTTCAGGGGGAAGAAAAGAAGCATGCCGGGCCAGAAGCAGCAGTGCACACTTTTGGATGGAGGAAAGTGAGGCTGGATTATGATTAGCGTTTCTAAGATATTTCCTTTATACTCTCCCTCTACTAATTTTTGCTTTACCTCTTCTGTTTGCAAGCTGTAGCCTTGCCATTTCATTTGGGATTCTTGGAACTGTGATCTTGTAAGTAACTTTGTGAAAAGTATAGAGAAGTGGTTTTTTTTCATTGTAATTTAACTAACTGATTATTGTGGTACAGTTGAAGTTGGTTAGAGTGATAAATATGATTTTAGGTATTAAGCTTTTTATATGTATGTCATTCATTGAAGTTGAAAAGGTTTTAAAAGACTTTTTGTACAAAGTCCAGAAACTTAAATAAGTCAGGAGTCAAACGGATAATTAAAAATTTTTTAAATGTAATGAAGCATTAGGATGAAAGTAGTTTACAGTTCACAAAGCATATTTACCTGTATTCTATCCATTATTTATCTAACTCTTATAGAAGATGAACATTTTTATCCTTTCTTCCATGGTGTTTATCCTTTTATTCGAAAGCTGAATGCATATTTTTTCATCAGTTTTTTGAGGAGGATGTTAAATATAGCAAGTATTTTCAAAACATTTATTGGGAAGATAATGATTGCCAATTGTTAAATGGTTTGTGGAGGTGGATAAAAGCCTTGCCTGTTGCTTACTATTGATTTGCTGAGTATTACCCACATACACATACAGACAAATGTGTATATATACATACAGGAAATCATAGTTTTATTTATAATTGTATATGAATAAAGAGACAGGATGAGCTAAGGTTTAAAAGTGTAAGTTTTGACGTAAAACTGATGAGGTTAAGAACTAGCTTTGTGGGGGTACCTGACTGGCTCAGTCAGTAGGGCATGCACATATGAGTCTTACGGCACGATCTCAGGGTTGTGAGTTCAGGCCCACGCTGGGCATAGAGATTGCTTTAAAAACTCTAGCTTTGTGAACACCAGGCAAGAGGGTTTAACAATAATATCATAGAGGCTTAAGGTTTATATTACATAATTCATGTAAAGCCCTCAGCTTTCTGGTACACAATGGGTGCTGAGCCAATGTTAGCTTTTATAATAGTAGTAATAGTTATTACTCTTGTTTAATTTTTTTATAGTAACTTGAAATATTCACCTGCGAGTGATTTGGAAATAAATATTTTTGCTAGTGTTCCTTTTTTAGACCCATGTCTACAAAGGCAGGGTTATAAAGGAAGTTAGATGCAGGCATCAAAGTGTGCCTTCTCCAGTTCTAGCAGGAAAAGCTATTAATCGGGTTCGGTATTTCAGGAACACATTCCCTTTTAGTACTGTCAGCTGATGAATAAATGCACTTGGGAACGAGTGCATGTTAATGTGAAGTTGTTTCCCAACCAGTGTGTTGGTGTATCTTGGTTAAAACATCCTGAATTTCTTTACTGTCCTTTAAATTTTTGACCATTAGTAGTGAGAAGAGGGTGAGTGGCCATGTGTATTTGTATATAATAAGCATTTTAACCCCAACTAAGAAAGAATAGCTTCAACAGCAGCTAGATTGAGGACAGGCATGTTATCATTTCTTTGCTTAATCTGAGTCAGGGGAATTTCCTCATCCTCCCCATACTTCTCTTTGTTTTGTATTTGGGCTGGGATGGTCTTAAACTTCTATCTTTAATTTTTCTTCTACCACCTACACCCCCCACCCCAACAGATTTTAAGCTTTTTTTAAAAAGCTAGTAAAAGTAATTTTAAGTTCATGTGGTGGAGGGGTGTGAGCATGAGAAGTTAGAAATTTCGGATATGCTTAAAAATATGTTCAGCTTGGAAAAGGAAGGGGAGAAAAGTCACCCATTTCATATCACCATTATATAATCATTGGTTTTAAAGGAAAGGGGGACGAGGGGTGCCTGGGTGCTTCACGGTGGGCATCTGACTTCGGCTCAGGTCATGATCTCGCTGTTTGTGGGTTTGAGCCCCACATTGGGCTTTCTGCTGTCAGCTCAGAACCTGGAGCTTGCTTTGGGTTCTGTGCCTCCTGCTTTCTCTGCCCCTCCCCTACTCGTGCTATGTCTCTGTCTCTGACTGTCTCTCTTTCAAAAATAAACAAACACACTAAAAAAATTTTTCTTTTAAAAAGGAAAGGGACATGAGACCAATGTTAAGCATCTATTCTGTATTCCTTATAATAATGCTTGATGTATATATTCCTGTTTTATCTGCAAGGAAACAACTCAAACTCAGGTCACATAGATAGTAAATAGTACAGCAGCCAAGTTTGAATCTTAGGTATATCTTGATTCTGTAGATGAGATCTTTCTACTCTGCCTTCAACTCCTTTCTGTCTGTACTTTAGCCTAATTGTACAATTTGTAAGTTTTATTTCCTACTTATACAACATTATAATAGCATTTTTCTGCCTCCTCGTATTTTAAGCAGTGTCTTACTGCCCACATTGTTTATTCATGCCACCATATAAAGGTTCTTTGTCTTGGCTGCTGGATATTGGTACAGTGATATTGGTCAAAGTGGAAGCTGCCTTTTTTCTTTACTGAGTTACCAAGAAGAAAAATAATGAAAGTTAATCAGAAGTAATACTCTCTGGGATTAGAAACACTGTAGGTTTAATAATACTATCTAGTGAGACATTTAACTCAAAAATTTTGCTTAGTTACTATTTGTAATTCCTAATGTAATAACCTGTAAAAGGGAAAATATTGAATTATTATGCTCTCATTGGGTGGATGACATAAATATTTAAAGGTAAATTGTACAGGGCAGCACTGCCCAATAAGAATATGTTACCCTACAAATGTGATTTAAATTTGTCTATAGCTATGTTAAAAAATGAAAAGAGGGACACCTGGGTGTGGCTCAGTTGGTTACGTGTCCAGCTTGGGCTCAGGTCATGATCCCGTGGTACTTGAGTTTGGGCCTCGCGTCGGGCTCTATGCTGACATCTCAGAGCCTGGAGCCTGCTTCAGATTTTGTGTCTTCCTCTCTCTCTGTCCCTCCTATGCTCACATTCTGTGTCTCTCTTTCAGAAATAAATAAACATTAAAAAAGTTCTTTTAATGAAAAGAAATCGGTAAAATTAATTTTATTAATGTATTTAACCCAGTATATTCAAAACATTATTTCAATAATTTGAGCTGTTTTACATTCATTTTTTTCATGCCAGGTCTTCAAAATCAGAAGTGTGTGTTCTGTAATTAAAAGCATATCTCAATTCAGACTAGCCAGACTTCAAGTGCTTAATAGTGATGTGGCTTTTGTATTGGACAGTGCAGATACAGTTAGTAAGTCCCGTACGTGTATAGAGAAAGGTAAAGTGGAAATTGAAATGAGCCTTAAAGGATAGCTAAGAAAAGAATCTGCTGAAGAACAAATCTGTAAAGTGATGGGAATTAAAATGATATAATTTGAAGTCAGATAATAAAGTGACTTGAATCCAGTTTAGGGAATTTGTTTTTTATGGAGGATGTGTATGTGTGAGATACTGTATGTTGGAGGATGCCTAATCATGTGTTGTACATGAGCATTAAATGAATATCAAATTAATATTTAAGTGAATTAATATGAGGCAGAACAAGAGGTACCTGGGTGACTCAGTTGGTTGAGCTTCTGACTTGATTTTGGCTCAAATCATGATCCTAGGGTCATGGGATCAAGCCCCCTCTTGGGCTCTATGCTGAGTGTGGAGCCTGCTTGAGATTCTTGGGATTCTCTCTCCCTCTCCCTCCCCTCTCTCTTTCTCCCTCTGCCCTTCTCCCCTGCTCATGTTCCTTCCCTCCCTCTCTCTCTGTCTCTCTGTCTGACTGAAATACACAGACCCTACACATACGCGTACACACACATGCACACATACACACACACATCCACATGAGGCAGAACAAGAAAAGTGCAGAATACTCACAAAGACTTGTAGATCTTCTAAGGGGAAAAATGTGCTTAGGGAACATTGATATTCTCTGATTAGCAGTATGATGGTGAATGATCAAAAAGGAATTGAATTGAGAAAAGGATTTTAGATTTGACCATTATTTTTAAGTGTTTTATTTAGGTATAACTTACATACAGTGAAGTGCGCACATCGTATGACTACAACTCAGGGAAATTTTTCATGTAAGAATATACACACGACTTCTCAGATCAAGATAGGAAACACTTTCTGTACGGGAAAAGATGCCTGTTAATTCCCCCTCGAGAAGTAACCACTATTTTGATCTCTATCACCATAAATAAATTTAGCTTATATTTGAACTTGATTATGGCATATTTGTTCTCCTTTCCAAGGGTTGTGAGAGTTGATGGCTTGAATCTCTCTTGTATGTCCTTGTTTAGAATTATGTCATTTTGAAGATAATAAGATGATAGGTAGTTGGTACCATGGATCTACTGTTTTATTTTCCAATGTGGTTTATACCGAGACCAGAGAGATGTTTCTTAGTTTTCTTTAATATTGATTCTTCAGAAGATAGTTTTATGACTAGAAAGTTTGTTTAGAATGCAGAGATTTGAATTGCTTTTGCAGATAACCTAGTTATCTGGCTTGCTTTCATTACAGTATTCTCTAGGCATATAGCCAAGAAGTAGGTAGAGGAGGTCTTGGATTGCCTCCTAATATAGAGACCTCTTGGAACCTCTTTAATAGTAGATTCTAGGCATTATGTAAGTTAGCTTTCAGGCATTGCAGGCTACTTAATAAGGTACCTGAGTGTTTCTTATTGTGACTGTAGGGATAAGAGTAAATTGGTGTACTTCTGTTTACAGCTAAGTATGCATTCTTAACCTGAAAGATTCTGACATTTATTTATGTGTAAAGAACCTAGAATGTTACCTTATGGACAGTTACACAAACATTTGAATGGTTAAAATTCATGAGAGACTCTTTACAAAATGAAAACTGAAGTGAAATTATTGATCATGATTTTTACTTCTAGTGCTTGAATCAATTTTATTTTTCAAATGGATTTAATGTTTACAACATTGTTTTTTATACGTACTGAGCGGTGGAAGTGCAACAATTGGTGTTTTGGGGAGAAAGATTTTTATTTCTGAAATTTGTATTTTATAAAGTTGAAAAAGTATCTAACAATGAAAATATGTATTTTTACATCCTAGTATGCCTAGTTTTGAAAAATAGATATATTTTGTAAATTGTACAGTGCATGA